GCCCAGCTAACTTTTTTTGTATTTTTAGTAGAGACGGGGTTTCACCATGTTGACCAGGATGGTCTCGATCTCTTGACCTCGTGATCCACCCGCCTCGGCCTCCCAAAGGGCTGGGATTACAGGCTTGAGCCACCGCGCCCGGCCAGATTTTTCCTGTTTAATAGGTTTCAAACCAATTCCCTTCCTCTGGTAAAACCAACCACTTTCCTTTAGGGAGACTTGTCTTCCACATCTTGAGATCGAATTTCAATTCCTATACCCCCACTCCTGAGCCAACTTCAATTATTTGAGAGTGGAGGAAGAGCTGGAAATCTAACACAGCCTAGCCAATTAAAGTACTAGCAATTGTATCTGATTCAGAGATGAGCATATGAATTACATTTGGCCATTCAGAATCCCACTGTATTAATCAGCTATCACTGCAAGTGTTGGAAAACTGAACAACCCACAACTCAGTACTTGTATTAGTCTGTTCTCACATTGCTACTAGAAACTACCTGACACTGTGGGTAGTTTACTTTTTTTTTTTTTTAAAGGTGGGGTTTCACCACGATGGCCAGGCTGGTCTTGAACTCCTGACCTCAGGTGATCCACCCACCTCGGCCTCCCAAAGTGCTAGGATTATAGGCGTGAGCCATAGCACCTGGCCTACTGTGGGTAGTTTATAAAGAAAAGATGTTTAATCGACACACAGTACTGCAGGCTATACAGAAGGCATGGCTGGAGAGACCACAAGAAACTTACAATCATTGGTGGAAGGTGAAAGGGAAGCAAGCACATCTTCACACAGTGACAGGAGAGAGAGAGCACAAAGGGAAGCGCTACACACTTTCAAACAACCATATATCATGAGAATTCACTATCAGGAGAACAGCAAGGAGGAAACTCACCCCCATGATTTAATCACCTCCCACAGGGTTCTTCCCTCAACATTGGGAATTAGAATTCAACATGCGACTTGGGTGGACACAGAGCCTCTGGTTATAAGGGCTCATGTGATTAGACTGGGCTCACCCCAATAATCCAGAATAACCTATTTTAAAGTCTATAACCTTAATTATATCTACAAAGTCTCTTTTGCTATGTTACATACACATTCAAAACACCCAAGAATTAGGATGTGGCCATCTGTTTTTTTTTTTTTTTTTTTTTTGGTAGAGATAGGTTTCACGATGTTTCCCAGGCTGGTCTTGAATACCCAGGCTCAAATGATCAACCCAAATCAGCCTCCCAAAATGCTAAGATTACCGGTGTGAGCCACCATGCCCCACTGATCCCCAGTGTTGGAGGTGAAGCCTGGCTGGGGACCGAGAGCAGTGGGGCTGGATCTTAGGTATGGATCCCTGATGAATGGCTTGGTGCCATTCCCTAGCAAGTGAGTCAATTCTCACTCTTAATTCCCAATGACACTAATTGTTTTGTTTTATTTTGTTTTGTTTGTTCAAAAAGAGAGAGAGAGAGACTGAGCGCGAGCTTGGAATCTCCTCCTCTCTCTCTTGCTTGCTCTCTGGCCATGTGATGTCTGCACACACTGGCTCTCCTTTACCTCCTATCACGAATGGAAGCAGCCAGAGGCCGTCATCAGAAGCAGATGCTGACATCATGCTTCTTGCACAGCCTTCAGAACCATGAGCCAAATATACCTCTTTTCTATATAAATTATCCAGCCTTGGGTGTTCCTTTATAGGAACATAAACTGAATAAGACAAGCAGTAAAAAGAAACCTCTGTTTTAACACACCATTGTGAATCTCAAAAAAAACATGCTGAATGACAATAACCAATCACATATGAACACACGCTGCTTAATTCCATGTCTATGAATTCCTATAACAGACAAAACTAAAACACTTAGTCATATAAATTAGGTCCCATGTTGGAGGAGCTTGACCAGAAAGGAACAGAAAGAAATGTTTGGACTGTGGAAATATTCTATATTTTCACTGGGTAGTGGTTACTCAAGTGTATTTGTCAAAGAGCATTTTTAAAATGGGAAAATTTTATTTCTGTAAATTATTCTTTGATATTTTTTAAAAAGTCAACAAGAGTTTTAAGAATAGCAAGTAAACAATGTGAAATGCCATAGAAAGGAAGACAATTCTGAGAATTGAAAAGAACTTGTTTGAATTTTTAAAATTTAGTGATTTTAGAACACTTTAATGAATAGTTTTAAGAGTCCTTTTTTAAAGAATCCTTTTTATTGAAAAGATGGGTAGAATCCAAGATGCAAGATATTTTAGTTGTAGTTACCTAGAATGAGAAATTCGAAGAGGAAAAACACAGGCTTTTCTATTTCAATTACTGCATCTCAAACTTTGATGAACATAGGACTCTCCTAGGGGTCTTGTTAAAGTGCAGGTATTGATTTACAAAATCTTGGGTGGGACCTGAGAATCTACATCTCTAACAGGAAAACAGACAACGTCAATGTTGCTGGTTCATCTACTACAATTTAGGTAGCAAGGACACAGATCGCTCCTCTGAAGCACAGATGGCATAGAGAGCTAATTTGGCCCAGAAGTTTCCAAGATTTATGGAGTCCATTCCTGCCATCAGTTCAAGAATGCCTACATGTAGATTGACAGGCCGGCTCTCTTTCTATTTGAGTGCAACCAGAACATGTGCATATGATGCTGTGGAAAACAACATTGATCTTAGGTCAGTAGCCTTGAGTTCAAATCCCAGCCAGTCCCTAACCAACTGTGATAACTTGGGTCAATTACTCCTATGCTGCAAAATGAGAAAATAGTTTCTGTTTCTCCTCTGTAGGTTATTGTATTACGACAGAAAATGTAAGTGAAAGTACTGCATTAACCACACCCTAAAAAAAACAGAATACCTTAAATAATAGTCAAGCAAAGAGTTTTGAAAACCAAGCAGGACCTAAAAATAAGAGTTGGGGCTCCGGGATTTTCCCCGTGGGCGTTGAGGGATGTACCATATTGGGGAAGGGGCACCCCACAACAAATCTATCTAAAAAGCTTCTGTATTTGAAATTATGCCTCTATCACGACACCTGAATATGAACTTTTCCTTCATTACCTACTTCAGCTGGCACTTAACTATAAGTTCTGTAAGAGTAGTCTGCTTCTTTCTCCCGAAGTTGAAGAGCCACCCACGCACCTCTCAGTTTCTCCCATCCACCCGCAGCCTTCCTGCCCTCGCCGCCGCGGCCCCCGCCCCGGGGCAGTAGTTTGCACTACGCTGAAGGGAGAGGCGGCACGGACTCGTCTATCTACTCACCTCGAGGAGGGGGATGTGAGGAGCTACGTTCCAGAGAACCGTAAGAAACTCCGGCCAGGACACAGGGTATCACAGGAGGACTTGAGTCGAAGGTGCAGCGAAGGTGTAGGAGCGGAGGAGCGGGCCCACAGCAGCCCTGAGAGAGCGCAGGTGTGCCCACGGCCGCAACCCCCTCCCCAAAGCCTTCACCGGATGGCGCCGGCGGGAGAGGGCGGGGCTAGGCGCGCGGCGGCCGCCTCCGCTACAGCCGCCTCCGCGGCGGCCGGAAACAATAGTGGAGGAACCCGAGCCGTGCGGAACGGCAGTGGTGGCCCGCGGAGCCGGACGGTAAAGACCCAGCACCCCTTTTCCCGTCCAGCCTGAGCCCAGACGCTCTGTCCCATCGTCCCGTTGCCTTCTAGTTCGGAGCCCCGTGGCCCCTCGCGCTACTGCGCGCCGGGCGCCCAGACGGACGGACCGACGGATGCGGGTTCTCTACTCCCTGGGGGCAGCAGGGCGCCCCCAACGCTGGAGGCCAAACAAGGACCCGGCTCCCCGAAATGCTGAGGCTGGGCGGACCGGCCGCCGTGGCCTTCGGACGCTTTCTTCCCTTAGGGAGGAATCCCAGAGCAATGGGACCAGGCGCTCCCGCCCGCTGGGCTCCAGTCCGCGGCTCCCCCAGCTCCGGCTTGGGCCCCTCTGGCGGTGCCCGGACTGTGAAGCCGCAGCTTGGCCTTCGGTGTAGTTGCCCCGGACGGGGACGCCCTCCTCGGGTGTTCGGTACCCACGTGCCTTTTTCTGCTGCCGACCTCCGTCCGATGCGAAGCTTCGCAACTCCGAGTTCGCGAGACGCATCTAAGGTTCCCCCAGTGAAGTTGGCAGTGTCCTGTGCAGGTCATTTTTCCTGTTTCTTACAGCGTTAACTAGGTTGACAGACCTGGTAGCTTGAAAAGGCCTCGCTGCCAAGCTCTCTGATTATTCGATGGGGGACGAAGGAGGAGGACTAGAATGCCCACAAACCGCTTCAACTATAGAACAAAAAAGACACAGGCATAGTGTCACCTATGGCCTGGCTTTAAGTGTTACTAGCTTTGTGTCTTCCCACAAAGTGCAATGTTGAAGTGCAAGAATGGCGATGCTTGTTTGATGGGGCTTTTCTTTAGATGAGCTGAACAGCATCCTTGTTTCCTAGAAGTTCCCAGTAAAGGGAACTACCCTAAAGGCAGGTTCTTGAAATGGTGTAACTATACTTTTCTGTTTGTTAATAGGGGAACTATGAACGAAGAGGAGCAGTTTGTAAACATTGATTTGAATGATGACAACATTTGCAGTGTTTGTAAACTGGGAACAGACAAAGAAACACTCTCCTTCTGCCACATTTGTTTTGAGCTAAATATTGAGGGTAAGGACACAATATAGTTTTGATTTTATGGCATGAATTTAACACAGCTGCTTTATACTGAACTGGTTATAAGGTAAAATAAAAGTATCTTGAATGATTTGAAATGTGCTAAGTATGAATAGTGTAGAGATTTGTTAAAGATAAGGCTTCTGGAAATGAAGGTACAGTTAACAGTTATGAGTTTAAGAGAAATCTTCGTTTTTTAAAGACCCCTGAAACAACCCGATTTTTCCTAATACAGAAATAAGTATGAGTGTTGACTGGGAAATGTGTTTTCTGGTTTGGGAGCTTATTGAACTGTCAGATTTTGGCAGACGTGTGTTTTTCATATTAAGAAGTAACAACAATTTTTTTTATTCTTTCGAGCCTGTTAGCAAGTATTTGAGTGAGATGAGCCCGAACTCTTTTCTGAGCAGTACCATCTTAGCTGGTAAAATATTTTAAAATTTTTAGATTAACCTCCTTTCAGTGATCACACACACTGGTAGAAAGTTTTAAAAACTGAAAAGGTTTTTAGTATTTTTTTAATAGTGTCCCTAAAATATATGAAGAAAAATTATCCAAATCCAAAAGGAAAAAATCAAGCCTTTTTGGAAGTATTTATTTGGGTTGGTGCAGTTAGTGCTGTCATATTAAAATTTATTTATTTATTTTTTGTCTAGCTATTTGAGTCATATTTTAAAAAAAAAACATAATATACATGTAAAAAAAAAAAAAAAAAAAAAACTTGGCCTGTAATTTGAATTTTGAGTTGTAATGTATCAGTAGAGAGACTTTATTAAACCTCTAGATTTTGGACAATTTGAAAACAGTTATTTCCCTTTTTCTGAATTATATATTCGAAATTTTCATGATCTTTATTTTCTGTTTACTAAGTTTAGGGTATGAAATGTTCTTAAGAGTTTAAAAAATACATACTGGGGGGATTATATACCTTGAAATTCCTGTTAGGACTGTTTGTAGTCACCAAACAGTATGTGATGGAAAATTATGGATTTCCTGTGGATTACATAGGATGTCTATAACTTTGGCTTTAATAAATGTGGTGATTATAACTAATTTCAAAAGATGACATAACAGGAACAGTAGTGTATATATTCCCTACAGTCTCAGCTACTCCAGAGGTTGAGGCGAGAGGATTGCTTGAGCTTAGGAGTTCAAGTCCAGCTTTGGCAACATAGCAAGACCCCGTCTCTAAAAAATAAAAATAAAAGGATAACTTTACAATGTTTCTTTTGCAGTACTTATATTAATCAAGACCCCGTCTCTAAAAAATAAAAATAAAAGGATAACTCTAAAATGTTTTTTTTCCAGTACTTATATTAATCATGCTAGAGTGAAAATCTAAATTTATGTTCTTTGGAAATAGAGTTGGTTTCTATATTGTTGATACATTGTAGAATTTTAATTTTAGATGGTTAAAAACATTAGAAATTATCTAGTATTTTTACATTTAAGGAAACAGCCAGATAGTTGAACTGCCTAGGGTTGCTGTAGTGGTGATGGCAAGCTGTTGTTAATGTGCCCAGCACTGTGCTAAATCCCTTATGTAGATTATCTTATTTAACTCAAGATAGCTTTGGAATGACTACCGTCATTATCTATTTTAAATGTGATAGAACCCAACATTGGAAACGTAAGAAATACAGTTTAAAGTCACATAGCTCATCATTGACAGTCCTGGGTTTAAAGCCTGGCAATCTGATTCAAGTATATGTGATCTTAATACCATTGATCTACTGTCAATAGTTATTTTACATCAGTAGGGCTGATGTTTTAATTCTAATTGGTTATCCTTGCTATTCTGTCAGCCAGCTTTTTCTAACCAGTGTTTCCTGGCAAATCATCATTAATGGAGTTCATGCCGTGGTACAATTTTTCCACTGCACCCTAAAATTTCTTAATGGCTTTTCTAACTTTTTAAAATAAGCCTTTTAACTGGTTCTTAGTCATTATAAAGAGAATATACAAACATTTCCTCAGGTACTATCTCTTAACATTTCTGCTCTGATAATATCTCAGTATGTGAACCTGGAATAAGTCCTTTGTTTTTGAAATTATAGTTGCCTTCAATGTAAAAAGGCAATTCTCAATTTGAATTAGAACTATTTCATTTAATAACCTATGTATTGTCAAGGTTTTATAGATTAAAATATCAATTTAATCTTTATAAGAAAAAGTAGAGTCAGATAATGTCTATCTAGTGTCAGTTCATAGCTCTCACAAATACAGTTTCATTTTTACTACAGTGATGAGCTAATGTATCACAACGGTTTTGTTTACAGTAAGATTGTAGAAAAGGGAAATGAACATCTTGAATTGCACAAAATTTTAGTTTTTAATATCAGTATACAGATCTTTAGAAATCAGTGGGGAAAAAAGTGATAATAATTACATACTGGAAAAATTACAAGGTATATTTTTGTCCGTAAACCTTTTAAAATGTTTTTGGAGTTTTCTTTCCTCTACCAAGTTCCCAACACAATGCCTGTCAATAGACCAGAATGTAAGAGGGACTTTTTAACGACATTTAACTTTAGTAGTTTAGTGTAATTTTTTTGTAGCTTGGTAGTATAGCTCTTGTCTGATTTCTTAGCTTACTAATTGCTAACTTCACTCTAAGCACTCTGAAAAGAGATTGAGTAAAAATAAATTTTCTTGGGGAATAATAACAGTTCAGCTGGTTTTGAGTCCATACATTTGTAGTAAACAAAAATAATATTTTCTACTTTTAGGATTGTTGCTTACATCAAATCAACACTGGTTTCCTAATCAACTAGCCCCTTGTTTAAAAGCTGTGGGCATGCATATATTTATAAAATGAAGACAAAGAAAGAAAGAAATAACAAAAGACAATCTAATCTTGTTGAACAGACTTTGTATTCCAGGCATGGCTCTAAGTTGGCTTTTTCTGTGACTTTACAATAATGAAAAGGAAAGAGGAGCCTAAATTTTATATACTTCCAAGCCACAGGTGTTATGCTTTGAGGACCCGAGAAACACACTTTCAGGACTCACATATTTTTAAATGTTCACAAGGTTGATTTTTTTTTTAACCTATAATTCACCATTTGATATGGTTTGAATCTGTGTTGCCACCCAGATCTCATCTCATGTTGAAATGTAATCCCCAGTGTTCTAAGCACAGACTGGTATTAGGTGAGCGAACAATGGAGGTGGAGTTCACATGAATGGGTTAGCACCATCCCTTCAGTGCTGTTCTCATGACAGTGAGTGAGTGAGTTATCATGAGATCTCGTTGTTTAAAAGTGTGTAGCACCTCCCCCTCACTCTCTTCCTCCTACTCTAGCCTGTGAAGTGTCCGCTCCCCCTTTGCCTTCTGCTATGATTGTAAGTTCCCTGAGACCTCCCCAGAAGCTGATGCCACCATGCATCCTGTACAGCCTGTGGAATTGTGAGCCAGTTAAACCTCTTTTCTTTATAAATTACCCAGTCTCAGGTATTTCTTTATAGCAATACAAGAATGGACTAATACGCCATTAAAATAAATTGTCTACTTCTCAGATTAGGAGACAGACGCATAAACTTCCCAAATACGGCCTGCCCTTGGCCCTAAGACACTATAAACTTTTCATATATATTAATGACCAAATACTCTAATATGCATCTTAGTTCAATGTGCTGAAATCTCTAAAGATATTTAATGACCAACTCATTACCATTCCTTAAGGAATGCAAAGAAGAAGGTAGGCCAGGGTGCTTATGAGCCATAATGAAACTCAACTGTAAGGTAACAAAGCCCAAACTGAGACCTAAGCAAGAAAAGATCCAGGGCTCCAATACTGTTGATTCATACTGTCAGTTTTCATCTTGCGCTAGAATTGTGTGCAAATAATTCTTAGAGCATTTCTCTCTCCTTATAATTGACTTGCTTTCTTTTCCATAAAGAAAACTTCTTTTAAAGCTAGCTTAGCTGAGAATAGTTTAGCTTTTTTTTCTTTTTTCTTTTTTTAAATAAGGGTTTCACTATGTTGCTTAGTCTGGCCTCAAGCAGTTCTCCCACCTCAGTCTCCCAGGAAGCTGAGATTACAGATGTGTATCACCTGATACCTGGCTAAAACGTTTTTATAAAATTGGACCAATTCCTTTTATACAGGTTGAGCATTCAAAATCCAAACTGCTCCAAAATCTAAAACTTTTTGAACATCTACATGATGCTCAAAGGAGATGTTCGTTGGAGCATTTCGGATTTCAGATTTTTTGGTTTGGAATGCTCAACCAGTAAGTATAATACAAATATTCCAAAATCTGAAATTTGAAGCAGTTCTGGTTTCAAGTATTTCAGATAAGAGATATTCAGCCGGTACCAAACAAAGTTTTCAGTGTAAGTTGACCTTGCTAGTTGATGAGTGAGTATATATCTGGCTGTTTTCTGTGTAGTTCCTCTTGGACTACTTTCTCTCAATTAGTTCTTTCTAGGAACCTTTCTGCTTTCTAGAAGGAAACCCAAATTCAGCTCCTTAGTAATCTTACCAACAAGAAAAAAATCTGTAATCTTGGTTAAGTCGTAGGTGCCTACTTTTAATTTTATTGTTCCTTGATTCTCTGTGTCTTTACCACATGCTGTTTGTGGTCAGTAGTCAGGGACCAATTTGAATCTGAATATGAAATTCTTGATTTGATTTGGAAGTTAGAACTGGTTATTTATGACTTGAAGAGGACGTAAACTGTCCCTCTATGTCCTGCTTCTGACACAATAAAATTTTTACGCTTAGGTAAAGGGGCCCACCACTTGGGATCAGGAAGCTATAAAGAACTACTTAAATCTGGCATTAGCCTCTTTTATTTCCCATCCTGTAATGGCAAACATCATATATTAACTAAAAGTTGCACTTTGAAATATAAAGCCTAACGGGAATTCTGAACTTTAGCTTGGTGATCTTTAGTATACTTATCTTAGTCCATTTTGAGCTGCAGTAACAGAATATCTGAGACTGGGTAATTTATAAAGAACAGAGATTCATTTCTTAGCCCTGTAT